AAAACCAATGCGACTACCCACTTCTCCTTCCACACGGTCTCTAGCCCACCAATGATCTTATTCACCGCACCAAAGTCCACGCTTTCGACGCAATACTTGCACTCACACAGAAAAAGTGGCGGCTCAGTCAGGTCCTCCGTATTGCATACGAATATGTCACACTTTTGGTCATTCCGAGCACGAACGAGATGTCCGAAGTTACAGCCTTCAGCGCGAGTATCTAAAATGCATTGCGGCCACTTAGCATTCGGTGGAGCCAAGAAGGGAATCTTCGAGCGAGACAAAGCCTCCAAATCAGCGTACTTGTCCAATATATCGCTAGCAACAATCGTTTTCCCCGTATTACCATCAGTCATCGCCACTGGCCGTATTTTGTCTTGACATTCACTGAGCAATCCAGCGAAGAAGTCATCAAAAGGAATGCCTTGCACTCCATTCCGCCGCGAAGCACAGAAAAACATATGAGCGACCATGTTCTCGTACGCTACATAATGAGTGGTCCCGAACCTTCCTCTCCAGTACCAAAAGAAGATACTACGTGTTGAGTGATTCACACCCTTTCGATGGTCATAGTAACCTGAGTAAGTCTTTCCACCCAATATCGCAAGATAAAGCAGCATATCGTCTTTAATATCCGGGAAACAACACAACGGTAGCCACGGCCCGCCATTAGCCTTAAGTTGGCGATCCACTATATCCACTTCAGTCACCTGATCATCCATTAGGTTAGCAAAGTGTAGATGCATACAGTAGGTCCCAACACTACGAGCAACCTTCCTTTTCTTACATGGAGGTTGGGACGTACCATCACTGTCAACATTAGTATACGATATAGCCATCAGCTGCGCATCCTGTCCTTCCTGCTCCTGCATAAATCTTTTGCGGCTCTGTGTCTTCGAGCTTACATGATAAAATGATACATCCAGCAAATCGCAAAGTTTGATATCATTTGCAAAATTTTCCATCGCGTATTGTGCCACGCTGTCGGCAAAATACCCGGCAAAACGCCCGCGAGAATTTACCACAATGCTCTTCAGGACGAGATACTTAGCTTGGAGGTGGTTCCAGGCAGTCTCTTTGTCATTATCTGCAAACGGAATCGGTTGATATGGAGGGAAACGAGAAATAACCGTCATCCATGCATGTCTTTCAGTATGACTTCCTAATGACTGATCAACCAGATCGGTGATCTTAGCGTCAGTCCCCATCACAATAACGACCAGACCACACACACGAAAAACATTGCGTTGGAATGCCGCCAGGTTCATTCCACCGCCATTCATTCTTATGTTAGGCATCATTTCGTCCAACACAAAGAAAGGCAAGACCTTTCCCTCAGCCTTCATCTTTTTGCGAAAAGCGACGACTTTCTCGCGATTGCACTTTTCCACGTACAACAACGTTTTTTCTTGAAAGCGTATCATTTGTCCTTGATGATTTTGTCCTTCACTGCAATACTTCAGCAACGCATGAATGAAACCAAAGGTCCACAAACTTTCAGTTTTGTAAAATTTTGACCTGGAGCTCAAAATATCCTCCTCAGACCGTTTCGTTGGGTCATCCTTTTTTGTCACTTCAAGAAACGCATCTGAAATTGACGAGAAATTTCTATACAAGCGCTGAGAGTCGGGTCCAATGGGTGTACTAGGCCAGTAAAACCACGGGCGGCTTCCTCCCAAAGCAAACGCCAGCTGCGACTTCCCCATGCCAGATGATCCTTCCACGCACATGAACGGCAGCGCAAAATCGTCCGAGAGGGCATACAGTGCGTCGATTTTGCTCAAAATCTGCTGGCAGTAGTCCTCACAGTTGCGCTGGATCAGCTCTCCACGTTGCTGGTAATGCGTTAGCTCGTCCGTGTAATCGGCATTGTCGTCAACTTCTTTGACGCGTAAGTAGACGTAATCCTCTGAAACCACCACCAGCACGTGGATTTGTTCTGTCGATGGCTGCAACATCTTGTTATCGTCAAACAGCCAACGCTTCAAGGTCCTCGTTGCAATCGCTTGCTCTCCATCAATCACCTGCTGAATATGTGGATGCGTCCTCCCTTCAGATAATGCTTGCGCAGCAGGATCGTTGTACTTCAGCCACGCGCCGTTTGTCATCTTCGCCAAGTAGAGACGCAGCTTGTTCACATCAACGTTTTTTAAGCCGTTCGGCTTCTTCGCCTTTATAGCCTTCTTCAACTCGTACACCACTTTGTTCGTGTCAATGTCGATAGCGAAAGTACTCCCCTGCGGACCAACAATCGCGCACAACAGCTTTACCATCATTTTTAGTCAGCAGATTCTCGAATGAAGAGACAAGAATTTTCTGTTTGCAAATGAATATGCTCGATTTTATATGCGACTATACTGGGGCGAAGATGAAAGGTCATCGTTCCTTTTTGATTGGCTGTCTAGAAAGAAAGAAAAGACCTTTCTAGTAACCTTTCTAGTCCAAAAAAACTAGAAGTGGGACAGTTTTTCTCTGCACTTTTTGTCACACCGTAACTTTTACACATTTTCATAACGTTTGTTTAAATAACACAACATAATAACCACCGCCACACCAGACCGCCACAATAGACCACCACATCATGGCCAAACTCAACACAAACCATCTTTGCGGATTGAGACGCGCTTAAAGATCATGTCAGGAAGTTTGGAATGGAGGCAGGTTTCGCATTCGCAATCAAACGATCGAAAAGAAGGCGGACCCATCTACGTGTGGAGCTAGGTTGTGACCTTGGCGGCTTGTTTTGAGAGCAAAAATTAGTCCTTGTTCAAGAGAACAAACAACGTGAATTCGGTACACGTTTAACCAATTGCAAGTATAAAGCAGTTAAAAGCGCAGCATTCCTGTAGAAATTCAGCAGTAGCTACGCACATTCTAGCGGATTGATGAATGGCTACTCGAAGTGATGTGCGACGAGCACATTCATAACCCCTCGACTATGCTGGATATCAACCGCGAGAACAGCGGGACGACCTTTCAGATGCTGAGTTAGAAATCATCACCGACGTGAACAGCAGGATTACCTGTTCAGATGTTGAGTTAAAAAAAGTTATTAGCTTCACGTAGAATATGGCAAAGATAAATTAAACTTCTACATGCCAAATTTTGGCTATAGTGAATGAACTAATTATTTTGGCCATAAGTTAAGATTGTGAGCGTGTGTGGCGAAGTCGCATTCACCGATCAGCTTGTGGCTTGCACTACGAACTATTCCTTAGAAAAATTGGTGGCGCTACAACCAGCTAATAATAAAAGTGATGGTGGTGTGGAAATAGCAAAATGTGTGGTGGAATACTGTAGCAATTCCCTATTCTTATTATGTTAAACCAGATTTAATAAAGTCGCGAGGAGAGGTCGGTAGAAGCAGATCTGAGAGGTTTAAACTTCGTTATATAGAGGTCGGTACCTCAAGAGTCTCGGGATGGTTTTGTGCAAGCGAGGATCGAACCCGTGACTGTGGTGTGTTGTGTGGTGTGTTGTGGGGTGCGCTTTTGATTATTCAAACAAAAATTATAGTGTGGCGGAAACAAAGACTAAATAGCGAGGTGAAAACAGCAATTACCACCTGGTAATTTTTCTTAACTGCAAAGTAATACTGCCTTATGTCAGAACAAAGCAACACGCACGAGATGCCCACGAAACAGATGGGAAATCAGGCCAGTCGCCAGCTAGCAAAGCGGTGCACTTGCCAGAGTGTAATTATTAATATTCGCGAGCGATCAATGAACAACCCTTTTCGATTAATTATTTTTTATTGTTTGGGTAAAAACGTATTGATAACGAGCGAATGGCCGATTCTCTTTTGAGCCAATACACTGGTGTAGCTTTGTGTACTGTGCAATTTTTGCCGACATTTTCTATGCGTTCTGTAAGTACAAATGTTTCATTTGCATTTTGTACTGCTGGTTTGTCTCCATCATCCAGTCAGCTGAGTATTTTGGGAGTTAAGTTGACGACACTGATGAGAGGCAGTAATAATTATTAGCATTAAAGACAATTAGGACGCACAGCTTCACCAAAGTGTTGAATGGCCGAAATCAATGTATGTATTGTAGAGGGTGGACAATAATACCAAGAAAAAAATTGCTTTACAGCGAAGTTGAAAGCTTCATATGAGCGCTAATTAGCAGTCAAGAAATGACTTGCGCAACTGTGAGGATATAGCTTATCTTCAATGGGGCGTGTCCAGCCAAATCGCCATTGGGACAACATTTACATTGCAAAATTGCTGTTGACAGTGACAATTTACAAAAATCCGGAAGCTCCTTATGAACCTCAATATCCAGTTGGCTTAACGGCTACATATTAAATACTTTGATGGCATTGGCATTGCCGAACCGTTTCGGAAATAAGCTCGCTGGCTCATTGGATGCAGCATTGTTATCTACTTGGCATGCTCGTTCTTGTGGCAACACGTACATTTAAGTCATGATGTAAGCACAAAGAGAAGCAGCATAAGGATTATCTGTTAATCACGAGCTTGCAGGCGATGTCATTCCTGATCAGCTAATTTTTGCTGCCTCATAGCCTCGGCAGCCGTGCACTTCGTGGGACCTGGCTAATAAGCGGTAGTATGTTTGTTTCTGCGACAGCGAAAGATGTTTGCTTTCTTCTACTCTATATGCACCTCCGTCGAAATTAGTTTAGTACGTGTCATTAAACTTGTCTTCCGTCGAATTTAGTATGGCCTCTATCCAAATGGCTGAGATAAATGTCTTTGGCGGAACGCTAAAGACCCCCCCCCCCCCCATTTTGTACCGTCGACGGAGATGTCACATTGTATATAACGAAACAACCCAGAGACGTTTGAAGCTTAGCAATGTGTTGGGTGACAGGGTGCAGTTACAGCCGTCGCTTCGTAATTTTTTACTAACCGCCCTCTATGATCTCGGTGCGCTCGTATAAAGGATATATTTTTCTTACGTTAAGTTAATTGTACTTACCTGATCCAGATATGCACTCAAAGGGGAGGGTTTTCTTACCTATTGCTATCACAATCGTTAGTTGAGCTTCAAAGATTTTAGGAGTGCTGTTGTCACATTCTTCCAGCGCCGCCCTAAACTTTTTCTACTCTGTCGATTGTGCAGCACGATCGTTTTCTCTTCCTGAGTAGCGTCATGGAACTTGTTCCCCTTTAGCACCACTGTGGCCATTCCCCTCCAAATGCTTTGCTTCTGTATAGCCGACGTTATCGTAGACACGATAGCATTATTCACCTCATCTTTCACAACAGGAAAATCAACCACTGCTCTGGTCACCTGACGATGCCAGCGATAGAAAGCCGGGGCGTTCAATAAGCAGAGCTGCACATGAAAAGTCGTTTCAGCGTCTCGGAACTGAAGCTGACGGGCATCCTTCCCAACGTCCAATGCCGCGACGCACATCCGCACCAGTAGGCTCCTAGCGGAAGCATCTTCATAGCGGTAGAGCCACAGCACATTGTCACAGAACACGGCAAAGACTTTTGTCCAGCAGTCTGGAAGAGCCACAGCATCACGTTGCCAGTAGACCCAATCACTTAAGGGAGATTGTGGTTGCTCCAAGACTTGTAGCTCATTGCAATTACCTTCAGCAATATCTTGATTATCGAGATGCGGATCATCTTCTGCCATAAAATCACTATCGTCGGTCATCCAAGTGGATCGCAAGGACTCACTGCGAATCGTTTTGTGACAAGATGATTTTGAAGATACTTTTGGGCTATTCATGGGACTAGTAACATGACGTGATTTTCGTTTAATGCGAGTAGCTAACGTGGCCACTTGGCAGCGACTTAGCGTCGGAAATGGCATGACAAAACACTTGAGTTCAAGCGACGAGACGGAATGATCACTGTGTCGTTGGGACACCTTAAAGTATGATAATTGGGAACAAAACAGATGCGTGGTGATTGGTCCACATTTTTAATATTATAATCACAGTTACTAATCAGGGTTTCGTAATCAGAATATAGCATAGACATGGCATATGAAGGAATAAGTTCAGGATTACGGCCAAGGCTGTCGGCAAATTGTAACGAAGAGGGTTTTATCTTTTTCATTCGTTTCGGAGAACGTTTTGCTATCTCACCGCAACATTAATGGCGATGTTAGTGTTTAATCTCAAACTAACTACGTTAGTCCTATCTGAGTTGAGCCATTTTGTGAATCTTGTAGCTGCAAAGTAACGTAGAAAAATGTGGTCATAAGTAGATCATCGTACATATTTCATACGTACTACCATCGTTGCATATAGCGACTAACAATAGATTGTCTTGAGAGAAGGCTCCTATTGTAGTACTAGGACGCATACGATGTTGGCTGCATCACATTGATTTAGCTTTTGCCGCCACGCTTTTACTGTGAGAATACAAATCAACTATGGCGAGGTAAAGAACAACACTTTTCATTGAGGCTAATTCCTCTGCTTAAAGGAGATGTCGTACAGAAAGATCCTCCATACCAATCCGCCGTATATTTACAACGTTCGCGACAGCAGCTTGCACCAAAACTGACTTTAGAAATTGCCTCTTCTCACTGCAAAAATGACAATAACAAGCTACCCAGGACGGCAAATGCTTCCGTCCTGCAATTTTGAGATCCTGTTGAATTCTGCTGCCAATACATCCAGCACAAGTAGAATTACTATGCACTGAAAGTGTAAACTCAAACTTGTGTTGTGTCGAAAGAATGGGTTCACTTACAATGGCGCAATATTAATTAAAGCTTCCTCAAGTGTCGTTGATATCACTTTTCTTGTCATGCTCCTTTCTTTCGCTATGGTACGACTTGACAGTATCATCACATGCACCATTTTCTTCGTCACACCGTATATTTGGCGAACGCTATCCCCCTCATCAGTACTTTACAGAAAATCACTGACTTGTGGCGCCAAACGAGTCAGCCTCTTCACTAAATAATACGTGTGCTACGTGTTGCACCTGATGAAACAAAAGCAGCGCAAAAATTAGTTACAACCGTGATGCGAACAGAACAACTAAACAGCAAACTCACCCGTTCTAGACCCTGTGGATGCGCTTGTTGTAACTAAACTGATTCTAGCTCTCATGCAGCAACAAGTCGTCCGCAGTAGACGAAACCGGTGTCCCCACCTTTATACTGTTGCGTCATTTAGTTTGTCAGAATGTGCATTTGCATCACAGCCACGACGACCGGACGCACCTTGTGATGTTGCACTCGTCTGGTCAGCATTTGCCGGCTGCAACGTCTGCTGCTGTTGCTGGAGCGAGCTGTTGGAAGCTGCAGCGATCGCGGTAGCTATCTGTTGCTGTTGTTGTTGTTGCTGTTGTTGTTGCTGCTGTTGTTGTTGTTGCTGTTGTTGTTGCTGCTGTTGTTGTTGCTGCTGTTGTTGCTGCTGCTGTTGTTGCTGTTGTTGTTGTTGCTGATGTTGTTGCTGATGTTGTTGCTGATGTTGTTGCTGCTGTTGTTGCTGCTGAAGCTGTCGCTGCTGGAGGTGCTGCTGAAGCTGTTGCTGCTGGAGATGAGCTTGCTGCTGAGACTGCGCGTTCTGGTAATATATTGCTTGCTGTGGAACAATCTGGTTGCCTGCAAGCTGGTAGCCAGGCATACCGGCGTTAAACGCGTTGTTTTGTGCATTTAATGCCTGGTATTGTTGCTTAATATTCACTTGTTGCTGTCCTCCATGCGCTCGAATTTGCCGCATCTGCGCTTCAAGCTGCGCCTGAGCAGCACGTGCCTGTGCGTTCGCAATTGCTTGAGCCTGAGCATGTGCGTGGGCGTGAGCCTGAGCTTGAGCCTGTGCTTGAGCTGTCTGTTGTCTCGACTGCGTTGTTGTCATTTGCTGCATGTTTATGCCTTGAGACATATGCGGCGGCATTGAGAACGACCCAGCCAAGTACAAGTTCGGGTCACTAAACATGGCCGACGCAGCATTGCTGTTCTGAACTAATAGAGCAGCTGCCTGTTGACTTGCCGAAGTCACGGTTGTTAAACCTCTGCTGGTTCCATTACCTGCTGCTGATACTGCTGCTGTCAACCCTGCAGTCAAATTTGGTGCAAGTGACCCCGAAGTTGCTTCAGTCACCGTAGGAGATGCTCCAACGATCGATCCATTGTCCAATGTCGGTGTAGGCACCGTCGACGTCCTCCGATTTATTGCACTACCAGCACCACCACTGACTAATAATGATGACGTCGTGCCTGCCCGTCTCATGGTCCGAAATTTATCCTTAAGCTGTACATTGGACCTGTCATTAAACTGTGGCCCGAGTTCTTTATCTATAAGAATAAGTGACCACACATTTCTCTGTCCGTTATACTTCTTGACCCCTTCCAATAACGCCCGCTCTTCTGTAGCAGAAAAAGGTCGATACTTGCGATGATTTTTCCGATTTTCCGTATATGCAGCAAGTTCCGGTCGAGTCTTTATCAATGTCCTCCATTTGTCCTTCAAATCCACTCCACTACGACCATGAAATAAATGACCAAGATGAGGATCTCGGAGAATAGAACTCCATGGACAACTATCGTCTGCATATCGTTGGACTCCCAATACTAATGCCGTTACTTCATGTGGACAATATTTTCGTCGTTTTCCCTTGACACGTTCTCCAACATTTTCACATGCGAATTCAGGCAAATTGCGAGGAAAAGCGTACCCTCCAGCAGCTGTGGCACTTCCTACTGTAGCTGCTGCATTGGCAGCATTGGTTGCTGCCACTGACACGATGTTATTTGCCGTTGCATTTTGACCTAACACACTCGACGGTGTGCTTATCCCTTGTGAATACTGTAAAGATTGCTGTTGTTGTTGCTGAAGTTGCACTTGCTGATGTTGCAGTTGTTGCAGTTGTTGCAGTTGTACTTGTTGAAGCTGATACTGATGTTGTTGCTGGAGTTGTTGCAGTTGCAATTGTTGCATTTCTTCTTCTTCTTTCATCTGATGTTGATGTGTCACTGGTTCTTGCGGTGACGATGTTGCAATTGATACTTGTGGATCAGTGACAACCACGGAATTTTCTTTTGCTACCGGTCGTGGCATTGTATTGTCTAAAGACTGTACTATACACACATTAATCCAATACAAATATTAGAAAGAAAAAAATTAAAAAAGAGTCAGTTGCATTTCTTTTGCAACAAACGTGCAAACGAAATCACGTACTTGGAAAGCGGTACTCAACGAAAAAGCTCACCTGAATCACACTTGCCCCTTTCCTCGATGGTTTTGTATCGATTGGAGGCGTCTGCTTGAAGAATGACTCTTCAGTCACCTATACCCTGGTAAAGTTCCCCTACTCGTTGGTCACGATTTAAATGAGACTCTGCAAAACTTCGATTGGTCTCTTTCACGTTCTCTCCCTTTTTGCCGTTTCGACTCAATCAAGCCAGCTTCACCTAATTATAGGTATTTCTTTGTCCTCGAGCCAATTTTAGAATTGTGCACAAACACTGCAATGTTGTGTTCCGTTTTTACACCTGTTGGGCTTTTTCAATGACAATTCAGCCAGCGTCCTTGCCTTTTGGTATATAAGTCTACAGATGCACATGATTGCATCGTCAGTGGTGATGAGACAACTATAAATGTTCACTTTTTTAAGCAAAGGCAACTTGCAAGTTGCTTTTTATGGCAATATATAGGGTAAGTGTACCTTTGCTTTCCTTATATCCAACGCTAAAATTGTTTTCACCCTCTCGCTCTCCAGCAAAGCTGTGCAAAATTAAAACAGCGAAATGAATACGAGATCTGACGGTAAAGAAGTAACAATGTCAGTTAAAGAAATTTCAATGAAAAAAACGCTCGCTCCAGCTGGTTTCACGCGCAATCCCAGGCGTGGCGATTGGTAAACGCTTGATTAAATAGAGGAGCGAGAAACACTAGTAATGTACTAGTATCATCGTACCGAGAACCAGCTGCTAGAAGAGCTTGTTTATTGCTTTAATTGTGCAATGGACTTGCCGCTCGAGTTGCAGGTCGACTTGGAGGCCGCTGCGAGTTATATTGTGTCCAGGGGAAGGGAGAACGAGCCCCTTTTCCTCGTATCGATATGTTGTGCTCGTAAAACATACAAATGCTAGGTAAAGTAGCAACAATCATAGCGGTACATATGAAGAGAATTGATTGGAGGAGAAAAGGTAGGGAAAGGTGAGGGTCAGGGGAAATACTGGCCTCAAATGTTTTCCCCTTCAAATCGATTTGTTTACTTGTGGCGCTTTCTGCCAAACATCAGCCTACGTCGCAGCGTAACCTTTACCGTACTACGTGCTACTGCTGCTGCATCCGCATCGGCAACCGACCAGTGTCGGATAAATTCCTCGTCGAGCGCGAATAGAATGACGTGAATAGATTTCTGAGCTATAGCAAGCAACGTGGCTGAACTTGAAACCTTTTATCTAAAGTTTAGGCTTACAGAACCACTTGTTGTAGGAAAAACGCAACGGCATCAGTGAGTCAACTACAAACTTTAAGATCTGTAGCTACAAAGAATGCTAGAGATGAAATTTACTATTGGCGTGAAGTGAAAAAAGCGAGTGGCGTTTAGACAAAGGTGCGTGTGCATGTTTGAACGCCATTTGGTCCCCAATATTACTGCTGATATTGTTGGTGGTAATCAATAACCTTGTGACGACCATTTGCAAAGCAACGGCACATTGTGATGTCGCGCCAGCAAAAAACAGGAGTGCCGCCTTGATGTGGTCGACTCACAACCATACAGGTACGAAGTTGGAACCATTACCATCAATGTAGAAAGTGCAGGATACTGTGGTTGGGTGCATTCGTCTGCAGGTCTCCATTCTACCATCATTATCTTCCAATCGTAGCATGTTTTCGTGACCTTAGTACCACATTGTACCATTCGGGAGTCCTGGCAAACGGGACGATTCGAATTGCACAATGTGATGCTACTGTCGACGAGAGGACAACCTTTGAAATAAGTTCTACCGGTTACGCTTCAGCTTAAATTTTACACCCCCTTGTTGCTCCATCAGTTCGTAATGCCAAATCGCGACTATTAACATGTTAAGCCCGATGGCTACCCAAACTTATTAATAGCTGTATTTTACAGATTGTCTTACCCTTCAATTCCGCGCAATAAAAAGCATACAGAACTGTTATCTTTCCATTTGGTTACTGCAACGCTAATCGTTGGTATAGATAGCCGCAGTGTACTACTGCTAAGGCGCGGTGAGTTGTTGAAGCTACCTAGTATCGCCGTTTTTGTCGAAGCCGCAGCCTTAGACCTTGTATACACAATGCAATTTTGATTGCTTCACCTTTTAAAGCCGGTTGTTTTCTATCTAACGTGAATCGATCTTCTTAGCATAAAATATAAGGTGTTTGGTTATTGACGCAGATTACTGTATCAGAAATGTTCAAAACAGTCGTACAACTGTGTCTTACAATCCGCTGCGAGTAAGCTAGATCTTCACGGTCTTGTCGTTGCAATGGTTGATCGAACACTTTAAAGGCAATTTTAACGCTCTTGACTAGAGGTGGTGGTTAGATTTCGTCAGGTATCGACACCAAAATCCATTAGCCCATGTAAGACAGACCACCATTTAGATCGACATAAAGGAGTGTTACCAACAACAAAGGGAACATATAGCGCAACTATGCAAGATATTTGTAGCCAATTCTGAGCAACGTTAACAATATCTATGTTTAACTCCGACACTGGGAGGAATTACTGGCATAAGAAAGTCGCAGCTGAGTTTGCTGTGAGGAACTTGCCTGAAATTGATGGCCTGTGCTTCTATCGGACTCGTGTGGACATTCGCTGACTCAGCTTATGAGATTGCAACGAACAAAAGCTTGTGGAGATCATTCTGAATCCCACGACTATTATAACAAGACGGAGCGTCTGTGAATTCATTCATTTATTTGCCGGAAAAGTAGGCAGTTACAGAATAACCGATGGGCACAAGGATACGCTACAATGCCATTGCACGTGGACGAGTGCGATGAGAAGCCCTCATTACTCGTGAAAAAGATGAGACGAGAAGATTTTGTTATTTTTCGTCTAGGACAGGGGGGGGGGGTAACGAGCTTTACGAAGGACAGAACGTGGCGTTATAACGCAATGTGTTTCTACGTGAGGCCTGATGGGATTGACGTCATAATCGTCAATGTAGTACAAGGGAGATTATGAGGAGTTGGATTGTAACCTATTAGAAAATCTGTAGAATCAAGCGCACATGTTTTGCTTGTCGCTTTGATCGCATTCTGTTAGGCGCCGAGCTCACATCCTGATACTATCAGCACTAATCTTTTATATCTCTCACGCGCGGCAGTACTTGACGGCCAGAGTGACGATCGTGCCTGACCCTAATGTGATTAACTCCACTGCTTAGACGACTAACTTTATGTGACCGGGCGCTAGTCTGGTCTGTAGTATAAATATACTGATTACTATAACGTCTAGATGGATGTTACAGTAGAAGGTGAATAGGTCATGCTGTTAGTCTCTCAAATGTAGGTGCATCCTATCACTGCAAGTCTTATGGCGGTAATCATGCATCATGTCTGACTGATTAGATGCAGCTAACGGGTAATGTTGTTGCAAAATTGCACCTACAGATCCTCATGACGTGACTTGCATCTTGTTTTGGCAACACTGTTGAAAAATTTACGATTATAGGAATGTAGTTGATCTCTATCGACTAGCCCCCCCAAAAAACCTGCTTTTCCTACGCCTCGAATGCTTTACTACGTGCCAATCTTTAATCATTGTTCAGTATAAATTTCTTTACGTCTAGTTGTGTGTGACGCGTATTTTTACATTGCAGCTTAACGATAATGCAACTTGACGCCTCTTCTTTACGTCCTTCAATAGACATAAAGTGACGTCTGACCTGTTGCCAATTAGAACGTAAGAGTGTCATTTCTCCACTTACCAGCTCCTCCATACCCGATCATTTCTCTATTGTCAAATGATCTCTACCATTCGTCTCCAATGTGCTGTACACTCAGCCGTTCGTGCATTTTCTCAAATTTCCAGTCCCACTCGTATCCTTGTGACTGGCGGGACGGGTCAAATTGGCATGGAACTTGTGCCGTATATGCGTCAACTCTTTGGCAAGAATGTAGTCGTGAATTCCGACATTAAGGCACCAAGTGGACCTCGTGATAGTAATTTTGTATACTGCAACGTAGAAGACCGTGACTCAATGGCTCGTGTCGTGACGGAGCATGGCATTAGCATGATTGTGCACATGGCATCATTGCTCTCAGCAGTAGGTGAAGCTAATCCGGCATTGGCCCTTTCGGTCAACACTCGTGGTATCCAGAACGTGCTTGAGCTAGCAAAGCAATATCAATTGCGAGTACTTGCCCCGTCAACTATTGCTGTCTTTGGACCCTCAACACCTCAAGATGAGACCCCTGATACGACGATTATGCGACCAACGACCATGTACGGACTTACAAAAGTACACGTGGAACTACTGGGAGAGTATTATTACAAGAAATTTGGTGTCGACTTTCGTTCCGTACGGTATCCAGGTGTCATCTCATCGGAAACACTTCCTGGTGGCGGCACGACGGACTATGCCGTAGAGATCTTCTACGATGCATTGAAGCACGGCAAGTACACGTGTTTCCTTAAACCCAACGTCAAACTGCCTATGATGTACATGCCCGACTGTCTGAAGGCTACACTAGGGCTTATTAACGCCCCAAACGACTCGTTAACCCAAAGGACATACAATATCACGGCAGTTTCGTTTACTCCTGAAGAAATTGCTGCATCGATTAAGAAAGTGCTGCCGAGCTTTGAGTGTGACTACAAGCCGGACTTTCGCCAGCAGATTGCTGAGACATGGCCGCGCTCGCTTGACGACAGTATCGCCCGAAGAGATTGGAATTGGCAGCATGAATATGATCTGGACAGTATGGTCGAGGACATGCTCATTAAGCTTGATGCCAAGCTGACTAAACCAGACGTTGCGATTGAGGAGACTGCATAGGTGACTTTTACACGAATAAGGCGATCAGCTAAGCCGATTTACGATAAAGAATCGATCATTGGTGGACGTCGAGACAAAATACACGTTTCCCGGGTTGTTTATAGTGCCATGTGCGAGAATGTTTACGTGAATGATCAAAGGTGCTGGGTCACGCTCAGAAGCATTGCAAATCTCGTAAGTAGCGCAAAATTCTCGATTTTAAGTGGACTGTGGCGCTGCCGAAAGTAGGAACTAAGCATCTCATTTCAAATATAAGTTTGCGTACCTTCAATTGTTTTCTAGACGTTTTGTTGAAAGGTCTTTGTCCGAAGTACTCGAGCGCGGAATAGCTACACTTGCATATTGAGATCTCCGAAAGAGATACCGCGTGCAATAAGGTGTGATACACCTCGTCCTAATCGACAACTTTAACTGTCAGGCATATCTCAGAAACCTATTATTATATCAGTGAATTTAACAACTTGTAGTGGTAAGCGTGTGGTTCTAGTCTTTCTCTTCCAGCGCAACGACAAACGTCAACAACAACTTCACATTTCGTTGAAATTCCTCCCCATACGTAAGTGCTTGTATATTTCTTGAGTTGCTGTTCTTATACGACACTCGTCTACGCCCTTCGTGTATTCGCTCGAACTGAACGACGAACGCGCCTGTCACGCCATCTCACTTTCTGCTGCTGCACCACGAAGCAGCCCTTACATGGTGGCATTAAACACAGGGTTGTGGCGCGCAATGCGCGGACCTTCCTCCTCGTACTGTGCCTTTGTGTGGCAAACACGAAAAAAGTCGGGAGTGGAAGCAACCATACTACCTCCAAACCAAACCGCAAAACGCTGCATGCGGTGCGATAGTACATTGACTTCGAGAGCTTCAGCATGTGCTTGATGGAACTTGGAGTGCAGAGCGAGGTTAGCCGCCTGTCGGTCGTCAGCGAGACGCTTGATGTCACGCTGCAGACGACGGCCAAAATCCTTAAACATGGTACTACCTCCCGACAGCACAATGTTCTTGTACAATCCACGCCGCGTGTCAATTGGACACTTCAAGATTGCTTCATCCACAACATTCGGCAATGGTGTCGTAAAATCCGTCGAAAAGATCTCGGGATTGAAGAAAATCTCAGGTGCCAAGAAGCGTTCGTATCCCACATCAATCTCCCATGGCTGCTTAGTACGTGGGTGCAAGTCCGAGTACTTCATAAAGTACTTTTCAGGCTTAGTGTCGTACTTTTTGAATTCTTTGACTAGATCTGAGCACACGTAGCTATGTGCCTCCTTGACACGTTTGGCCACTTCAAGTGATTCCTCGGGAGGGACCATCTCACCTCGGTCACGAAGCATCTTTTGAATAAAATGCGTCACATCACGTCCAGCCAACGGAATGTGACGAATGCAGCTTCCAATCACGTAGCCATCCGAGACAGGAATAACGTGCGTGACTCCATCTCCCGAGTCAATGACTGTCCCAGTCAACGACCGTTGACTAGGATCTTTAATCTTAGGCCACGAAGCATACAGAGCCAGCACCGCTTGTACTGCAATATAAAGTCCCGGAACATTGAAGGTCTCAAACATAATTTCAGCTGTAGCTTCTCGATTCTCTGGCGGATTCAAAGGGGGCTCCGTTAACAGCATATAATGTTCCTCTGGTTCGCAGCGCATATGCTGAAAAATACAACGTTGCCAGAGCTTTTCCATATTATCCCAATTCTGGATAATTCCCTGAGCAATTGGATAATTAACTTGATGCGTCGTGGCGTGGTCCAGAGCCTCTTTACCAATGTAAAAGTCCAAATCATCGATCCCCTGACGACTACGCACCGTACTTGAATCATTACTCCCACTCACAGCTATTGTTGACGGAATAATGTAACTGGGTTCAGCATTACCCGCATATCCCATTTTAGTATATCTGTCAAAATCAAACAGAAGCATCCGATATTAGTGTTAAATTGAAACAAGGAGATTTATGACACATGATCATAAGTCAAGAAAGAATATAAAGGAAACACGATGGAGAACATACCCAGTACCATTGTCGATCACAACTGTAGGTTTGAATGACGCCATTACTATTTGGAAGAAGGGCACGAAGCTAGGGAGTTTTTTACTATGCTGACTATGTTTTCCGTACTGTGTAAGATTCGTGTACGTGAAATGCAATTCAATTTTGAATTCTCATTTAAGTGGCTGCATAAAAAAGCGCGGATTACGTCCGTTTATAGGGTGGTCGAATCATATAAGTCCTTCATAATCATGTTAGTTAGTCGCAGTGTACAATGCGCTAGTGGTAGATGCACGTTATCCACACGACGTCTCGTCACGCATAGTGATAGCAAGAAGCATTGCGTAGAATTTTAGAAAACGAGGATTTAGAAAAGCAGTACACGATGTAACGCAGCGATCATTCAGGAGCAAGACGAATTGTACAAGGTGAAAGCTCACCAGATCCGAGGTAATCGGACACTACAAATGAAAGTAAGTGGACACTACAAAAGAAAGTAATGGACACTACAAAAGAAAGTAATCGAAAATAAGAATGGAACATCTTCTTCGCTGATAGATGGTGTACAACAATATCAGAGATTAAGGCTCTGTTCCCCATAGTGTCCATTTCGCTCAACAGTCAGGCTGATGAGTCTGATGGGATACGTTGGTTGAAACCGCTTGGATGGTTTCTAATCTGATTGAGCGACGCGCAGATGTAGCTCGACTTGTTGATGGTCAGAGTATAAAGGAGGTGTCGTCGAGGATTCCCAGATTACTTGTAATAATATCATTGTAATTAATTTAGTTTAGGGTACTTAGAGTAGGATTATTCACAAAATTATTATGCTTAAATTGAATCAGTTCTCATTTTGAATTTGAGATCGCAAGTCTCTCTGACTTGTTCTCTTGTGCGCTTCGTGCGTTGGTTCTCGGAACCTTTAAGATTCTAGCTTGTTTCGCACTCTGTGCGTTGGTTCTCTGAACTTGAAGCTTATTGCTTGCAGACTAAAAGTCCCTCCTAGTTTCTTGGAACAGGGCGACATCTAAGTATCTTAATTAGCTCCTTAAAACTAAGTGGCTTAAGACCGTCATTTTAACTAATTTATTAGAACTGACAGGCTTTTAGCCTTTAAAATCTTCCTCTGGCTAAAGAGCTGTGTAGCTCCGCTACAACACTTGTGATGAAATCCTGGATTTAATTGTCCAACCATCGTGTAACCTTGTTACGTCGTGTGTACAGAATGAAATTTCCTCAAATCGTATTTTAGGTGAGGTTAACAGAATACTGGGCATTTTACTTAAAACATTTCATTATGCACAAGTTACACGGTTGGACACACTTCGACAGTGCAGGCATGGATGCTGATATTATTGAGTGCATCAACTGTATTCGAGCTGTAACTCGACGAGAATTCAGAGGCGGAAGAGGTTCATCTGCAAATTTTTTTAACGCAGCCGGTGTTAATTTTTGCTATGCGTCGTCATTGGATATCTGCTAACATAGAGAAATGCAAGAGGAGCTTCTATTTCGGGTGGGCGAACATTTAGAGCGGTCAGAGGAGCGCTTAAGATGGTGTCGTCAATTGGGAGTGCAACCAGCGAGTAACTTCTTTGCGAGCGCGACGTGGGGTGGCTTTTAGGAGACACATGTCCATTGCGGATAAGTTTGCATCTGAATGGGCACCAGTGCTCAGCTCCATCCACCGAACCACAGATGTGACCAAATAATTAGCTGCTCTTAAGTCTTTGGGACGATCCCGAAGAAACAGATCTTAGTTGGTATCGACAATACCCGACTCTTACGTCCAATTACAGAAGCTGAGGTGCTCTCAGCCGTTCATGGGCTAAGTAGACACAAAGCGCCCGCCCAGATGATTTAAACAACGTTTTTTCAAGGATACATCAGCGCTGCTGGTGCTATCTCTGGTCAATATCAGCAATCAAATCTTCAATGGGGCAAGGTTTCTTCCCATAATTTCTAGCAGCGCTAATTATTCCGCTGCGTAAAAAAGGAGACTCGGACGATGCGATGGATTATAGACCGATATCGTTACTACAAACCAGCTACAAGGTGTTTGCCAAGGTACTGGCTACGCGATTACAGTCTATTTTGCCTCAGGTTATTGGTGATTCCTAACAAGGCTTTGTTCATGGGCGTTAAATGACAAAACTTGTTATAGTGATAATGGCTCTCCTGTCGACTGCAAAAGATCAAAAGGAGGTGCCGGCAGCAACCAGTCGCTGTATGTTGCTGCTGGATTCTAGAAAGGCTTACGATACCGAATTTATGTACGAGACCCTACTCCAGTTTGGGTTTGACGCGCGTTATATTGACTTAGTCCGACAAATTTACTCCGGCACGACAGTCAATTTCGTCGTAAACGGTTGTCATTCCACACCTCTCCCAGTCCAGTCAGGAATCCGGCAGGGGTGCCCGCTAGCACCTCTGTTGTTTTAGCTAGTCGTCGAGGGCTTAAGACTCGCACTCAAGCAGGAATTCAATCTTCACGGGCTACAAGCACCAAATCAGTCTGATCAGACCCATCTCTATTCGGCATTTGTGGATGACACCACCCTATTTCTGGAAACAATGGATCAAATTCCTCACGCTTTACAGGTTGTACGAGAATTTGGCGCTCTTTCAGCCCTCCACGTTCAGCCGTCGCAGAGTCATCTGTCTTTTTAAAACGGTCTGTCAAGCTCGAGCAATACGAGGGCATCGCTGTCGTCCCCACGGGCGAAACAACTCGGTACCTGGGCTATGAGGTTGAAACCGGGGAATTAGTGAAAAAGACCTGGGCCCAGAGGATCCAAAAGATTCAAAGGCGACTTCTTACAGCGACACGAGTGGCAACGAGCTTGGAATCGTGTATTACTTCTAAAATCCATCGTGCTTCCCTATTTGATATTCACTGCGATAGTCTTTGAATTACCACGATGGGCGGAAAAGAATCGCACAATCTTTACAAGCAATTTCTGTTGGCGCACGCGACAACGACGGAGAGCAGTCGCCACAAGGTGAATCCTGGATTGCTTGTGACGCCAAAGCAAGCGGGAGGCATCGGGCTAGCGGCTGTTTTTGTAGCGGTCAAAACACAACGCATAAGCATACGATGACTTGGCTTACTCAGAAATCGGAAAAATACTTTGCTGCCTGGTGGGTATGGGCTTTTCGGGGCAGTCAGGGGCCGGACGAAACAATCGTATTTCCGGCTCAGGCTCAACTACGGGCATCGCCTTGTCTAGCACGCTCGCCAGGACAGGAACTGAAGCAAGAGCTGGGCGAACGGCTATCCTCAACCACTGACCAGCAAGATTGTTGACCGCGTGGATCCGTTTTCACTCGACGGCTTTACTTGACCGAGTTACCAGCAGGTGGGATTGGGTAAATTGATGTTGTCGGTCATTGACCTTATCCCCATACACCTACTAGTACCCTGTTACCCTGGGCCTGGGGCCTGTGCTGGCTCCGCACGTCTGGGTCCTTATATTCTTAATAAGGCTGGGGCCTGGTGTGAGGTTGTAGATCCACGAGGCCGGGTCGTGGTCACTCCCTTGGGAGAGTGACCAGAAATTCTCTTGCTCTCTGTTCCCATTCCCTTTAAACTCTGATTGCCCCTGGCACTTCACCACAGCTGTCCCCTGCGCGCTGGTCTTACGAACTGCGGTATGATCACGTGCACCCTTGCCCAGACTCTGTGAATTAGCAGTAAGTGACCCTACGTCGCTTGGGTGGTTGGGTTTACTAACTTACAAGTCTTGTATCCTTTAGTGACTGCTCGTAATCTTTCCACCGGGTTCCAATCACCTGACCGTTGGCCTCTTCCCGCGCTTCCTGGACCTGACCCTGACGAGGTCTCCCCGACCGTAGACCTTATCGGGGAGCCCCCCAATTATATGGAGGTCTCTCAAGCTTGGGAAGTTTTACGTGTCACGGTGAAACGGGCCCAGTCCATGGAGACCCTCGCTGAGGAACACAGGGCCCTCCAAAGGGCCTACCAGATGGAACATCGCCGGAGGGCGGAATTACAGCGTCGCGTAGACGACCTCACGGAATTCGAGGTGACCCATGCGCCCCGGATACAGTCTTGGGTCCGGAATCTGGTCCACGAGCATGAAGTGGACCAGCTGGCCATCGCCGAGTACCGGGATGCACTCGCCCAACGGGTGGACAATCCTCGGAAAGTGGAAGAATCCCGATCCCAGATCAAGTACTGGAAGGACCAGTACAACGAGGCTGTCGCAAATTCTTCGGCTGAAATTCGGTCGCTGGAGTCCAAGTTGGACGCACTTCGCAGTCCTCAAGAACTGTCCAAATAAGTGTTGGTACTCCAGAAGGAGGTTGCCTACTACAAGAGCCGCGTGAAGACCTCCTCCGGGAACGTGACCAGCTGCAGAAGCAGCTAACGGTTGCTCGAGGCATGGCGGCAAAATCAACCCCAGCCACGACCAAAGCCCGAAGTTCCAGAACGTCGAAAAGGTCACGTTCGCCTTCATCCAAGGCTTGGTCGCCCCTTAAGCCGAAGAAGCGAAAAACCAATCGTGCCCCGGGGTCATCTGAGGCCGAGGATAGCAGTAGTGACGACTCGATGTTCGCCGCCATGGCCAGGTCGCGGGCTTCCAGTCTTCGCTTCGGCCCCGTACACTCTACTGCAGAGTTCGGTCCAAAGGTCATAGACCTGTCAAATAAGGCCAAGTCCAAGACTCCCGTTCAATCCTCGAAGTCCCCATCACCTCGTACCTCCCACGCAGCTTCTTGGGCGTCAAGGAAAAAGAAGGCTCGAACGGCGTACTCAGACGAGTTCTTGGAAATGTTTGGTCCAGACTCTGAGACTGAGAGTGACAAGTCTAGCCACGCTAAGAGGAAGCCACCGGCCAAAGGTCCCGCCAGCAAGGGTCCCGCCGGCAAGGGTCCAGCACCACCATCCAAGAGTTCCAGCAGCAAGGATCCTGCACCCACATCTAAGGGTCCCGATAGCAAGGGTTCCAGCAGCGAGTGTCCTGCACCAACATCCGAGGGTCCTGCCAGCCAGGGTCCCGCCCGTGATGATCCCCCCGACCGTAACATCCAAGGCTCTTAC